TTAAACTTAAATGTCATTAAAATACACCTCAAAAGTCGGGAAATCTCATTTCTCGCCATTTAGGAAACAACATTTTTCCGGGGAGGACCTCGACCCCCTTTCATTTTGAGGTCAATTATTCTAGGAATCATTTTTTTCCGACACTTTCTCTTTTGTTTTTATTTATTTATTTATTTTTTTTAACATTTTGACTCCGTCCTAAATCTGAAGCCAAATTGCCTCTGGAGATGATAAGGGCATCTCAAGGTGAGTGATGGGATGGGGGTAAATGCCCGATGAAGTGGGACCGCTCATTTAATTTCTTTTTTTTCATTTATTTATTTAGCATCCATTCAAATACAACAATTATTGCTCACGCAAATTATAGCGATATTAGGTAAATTCTCTGTTTGACCGTGATCTTTTGTGCTTATTTTTACTGGTGAAGGCTGACTGATGGGGTTGACGCAGACTAAGGGGGTACTGCGGGTGTCTTCTTAACACTCCACCTTCCACCCTTTTCTTTGAAGAAATGTATTTTAATAATGTCACATAAAGTGTAAAATGTTCTAATTTGAATTTGCCGGTCTAGAAACCCTCATTCGTGTCATACTGAGCTCTGGCAAGTTTATTCTGTCTAGATCTTAAATTTTACGTTGTCCAATAAAAAAAAATACTTTAATGACGTCATTCATATTTAAATATGCTTGCGTTGAAATCTACAGGTTAGAAAACCCCTTATATGTTCTAATAACCAAGGTAATATGAATCTTCCTAGGTATTACAATGAATATTTTACTCATCCAATCAAAAAACAGTAATTTGATGACGTCATACATATTTTTAAATAGTTTAATTGAATTCAGCAGGTTTGAAAACCCCTAAAACAGTCTTAACATGAAGATAATCAGTATTTTCTTATGAGTATTGACTTTTGGCACACTTTGAAACAATTCTGGCCCACTGTGCGGCGCTTTGGAAGACGCTCAACGGTGCTTAATCGATACTCTTTGTGTAATAAAACACTTTAAAAAACAAACATACAATGTATACAGTGTAAAAAATAAATAACACATTGAAGACACAAGCATTCCTTTGTAAATGTTCATTTACGATGAAGTCTGTGATAGACCTACTGAACTACTGAAATACGTGATATAGGCCTAGGTAACATTAAGAGCAGGAGCCCAGGGGTGTCAGCATAGCTGGAAAGTTTTTGTGTATATAGTAATGTTCTATGTGCCTGTCTATGTTGGAGAATGGGCATCTGCATGTCCCATTGTGGTCGGTGTGGTCAGGAGGGGCATAAAAAGGGCCCCAAAAATTGAGCTAGATCAACTTGTGAATTAACCCAATGAAACCTATCAGAATATATTCGGCATAGTTCAAGATATCACGAATGGACAATGCCAGACATTTCCAATGGTGGGGGTGAGTGCCAGACGCAAAAAACCGGTACCCAAAAATTAAGCTAGATCAGCTTGTGAGTTAACCCGAATATACCTACTGGAAATGTTGGGCATAGTACCAGGTATCAGGAATGGTCACCGCCAGACATTTTTAATGGTGAGGTATACCTGCCAGACACCCCCAAATACCCCGCCCAAAAAATTGACCTAGATCAGCTTGTGAGTTAACCCGATAAAACCTACTAGAAAATGTTCGACATAGCACCAGGTATCAGAAATGGCCACTGAGAGACATTTTTAATAGTGGGGTGTACCTGCCAGACACCCCCTTATATCCCGCCCCCGAAAA